TCCTTGAACAGAGTTCCTGCTCTTGGTTGTACTCGGTTTAGTGTGTATTCTATAGATTTCCTTCGCTGTTACGGTTTCGTGTCTTGACGAGGGCTGCCTGATCTGACTGCTCTCTAGGAGCGCGTTGTCTTTCTGGTGATGCGGCGGGGCTAGGTGGTCCTAGCCGCGGGGGCGGAACCGTGCATCCGCTAGAGGCATCTTATGTCCCTACTTCTTTGGTGTGGGGGGAAGAGGGGAAGAGATGGGGAAGACAGGTTTGAGCATGGGGAGAATGGCCTGGTGGCGTGCCGTCTATCCCTGTGCCCGCCCACAATCTGCAGCGGCTGCTGTGCGACTTAGGAATGATTCTACATGACCTGCAGGCGGCAGAAAGGGCACACACCGAAAGGGCACACACCAAGGGGGTGGGGACACTCACTTGTAGGAACGGCAAACGGCGGAGTGCAGGCGAGCTAGAGCCACTTGATACTTTTGTCAGGCAGATCAACCATGAGCTTGCGACGGTGGAGATGGTGGTGAGGACGGCGCGCGACGAGCTTACGGGCGAGACGTTTTACGGGCTGGTGGGCACGTCCAAGAATGCGACCATGGCGACGGCAACAACGTTCAAGCGGGCTGAGCTGGAGATGTTTGAAGTGGTGCTGCAGTTTATGATTGGCGGCAATGGGTGGCTCGACCAGCAGCAGTTCTTCCAACAACGCCAGCAGGTGAAGATCAGCGAGCGCGAGTCGCACGCCCTGCTCATCGAGCTGAAGAACGAGGGTTGGCTGCAGCTAATCACGCGAGAAGTCGACGGCAAAGTGGTCGAGGGGTACACGCTCGGCTCGCGCGGGTTTGTTGAGTTTCACGACTACTTGTTGTGCGAGGAGCTGGTCTCCACCTGCGAGCTCTGCAAGACTATTCTGTTCTACGGCGAGAGCTGCGGCAACGAGAAGTGCGAGGCTGTGGCCCATGTGGCCTGCCTCGCCACCTCGATGCGCAATGCGCAGGCGTTTGGCTGTCCGGCGTGCCACACGCCGTGGCCACGCCTCGTCACTACTAGCCCGCTCCCCAGCCGTGGGGCGGAATAACACATAGCTCAACAGGACAGTGCCGCGGCTCACGGTGTGCCCGCCTCGGACTTGCTGGCGCGCAGCGACCGCAGTGCGTTGGCCTCGACGAGCAAGGCCTGGACGTCGCCGGCATCCCACGGGCCAAGCGCGCTCGCCAGGTCCTGAACTGCCATAAGCAGCTCGGTCGAGTCGAGACCGAGGAGGAGCTCCCGCGCGCGGAGGAGGAGCGCCGCGGCCAGCGCGGCAATGGCACCAGGTAGCGCCGCCGAGCCGCCGAGAAGCAGCCCATCCCAGAGGCGGATGAGCGACTCGAGGTCAAACTCGCGGACAAAGACACAGTTGATCCAGCGGAAGACCACAACGGCGTACTCGAGGTGTTGGCGCAGATGCGCGTCAAGCTCAGGCGCGAGGTCTGCCACGTACCCGTGGACAATGCGAACAATGTGGGAGACACCCTCGCGGTTCGGGGTGAAGCAATGAGCAAGAGCCTCGATGAGTGCGCGGAGGCAGACAAAGGCCAGGCGCTCTGCGCTGTCCAGCGCGTCAGCGTCGATGCCGTGTTCAGCCACGGAGTCGTCGACGCCTCTGGTGGGCAGGACCTTGGCGGCCGCGTAAAAAACGAGCAGGAACGGGGCAGAGAGGTCGAGCATGCCCTGCGCATAGGCAACAGGTGATGTCCACGCCTCACCGTGCGACGCAGTAAAGACAACACCGATGCGCTCCATGGCTTCGGTTACGGCCGATTCTTTGAAAAACAGCACCTTGGGCTGGGTCCGCGGCACGTCGACAGAAATCTGGTGGAGTGCAGTCTCGTCGAGCGCGACGCTGGCGTCAGGTCCCCAGTGCCGCGCCACAAGCTCGCTGTACTCGGCGGTGCGGTGAGTGCGAGGAGGTCCCAGGGTGTGATGTGCAAGATACGCGTGCAGGGCACCGGTCCACGACGCAGCCCTTGCGGTTGCTGGCACGCCGCTGATGAGACGGAAGCCGATCTCAGACTGCAGCTCGTCGGCGTCGCCGGGCAGCACTTGTGGCTTGGTCAGCTCTGAAGCCTCGGCGAGGACGCGGGCAGCATGGGTGAGGCGAGCGCCAATCTTGCGGATCCAGCGGGCGGCAAGGCCAGCAAGCGGGGTGCTTGATTCGACGACGGGGAGTTTGGATGCGCTGGTGCGGAGCGTAGCGAGGGCCGAGCGTGCGGCGACAAGCTGGGCACGAGCGCCGGCAAGTGCCGGCGCGGCGCCGGTCCACAGCAGGATGCGGGCATGGGCGGCACGGCCGGGGCGGGCCAGCTCGGGCGGGCCGGTCAGAGCACACGCCAACGCATGCTCCACAAAGGGATTGGCCTCAGCGACGGCGGTGTGCCAGGCCTCGGCGGCGCGGACGGCGCGGACGGCATGAACGGTGCCGAGAACGACGGCGGCTGCCTCGAGTGACACCATGTCCTCCCACCACACCACCACCACCGAGCGCACGTGCCCGGGCAGCCCGCGGACCGCGTCCTCTGGCACGTGTAGCGGCGGTCCGTCCATGCGGGTGTAGCTGGGGGGGAGAGAGGCGTGGGGGGGGGGGGGGGGGCAGCTGGGGTGGGCAAAGCCTTGGGGGGAGGGAGTTCAATCAAGGAAGTCCAAGTGGGGGCCAGTGCTGCAGGCGTGCGATGGGAGAGGATGCTCTCAGGCCAAGACCTGGGCGGCGGCAACGCGGGCAGAGGCGGGCGCAGATGCAGGCGCAGGTGTGGCCGATGACGGGCGCGGGCGGGCAGGCGCAGGTGCAGGCGTGCGGCGGCGTGCGGCGGCGCCGGGCGATGGCGTGGGTGCCGCAGTGGAAGAGGCGGCGGCCGCAGCAGCACGCCGCGACGGACGCGGAGCCTTGCGCTTGGGAGTGACGATGCGAACTCGCTTGCCCTTGTGGTTGGAGGCGACGGTGCCTCGCGCGAACAGACGCTGTGAGGCGGCGCGGCCCTTGCGAGCCGACGGAGTGGTGGAGACGTCGAATTCGAGCTGCTTGGCGAGTGGACGCGAGCTCGAAGCCGAGGCGCGGGTGGCGCCAGGAACCGGTGTGGCATCGGAAGACGCCTCGGCGGGTACGGGGACGACGGACGAGTCGCCTGCAACCGATGGCGCGGTCTTGCGCTCGATGACCGGAGTCGAGATACCGCCATGCGAGCTGTAGCCGACGATGCGGACCGACGGGTCGCGGGTGGTGAGCGGCTTGTCCGGGTAGACCGCTTCGTGGGCGGGAGGGGGCGGCCTGCGCGAGGCAAACGTAGCGGTGTTGCGGCCGGCGAGGGCAGACATGCGGATGGTTGCGGGAGACCAGCCGACCTTGGCCGGGCGCGAGGTGATGAGATCCTTAACCATTTCGGCGCTGGGAGACTCGTGCTTGCGAATAGAGCGGGTGGTGTAGCCCTTTTTGCCCGAGGCGTAGATGGTCAGGCCCTCGGAGGCATCAATGTTGTCGCGCTGGCGGAATGCCTGTATCTTATCCTCGTTGTCGGGCGCGTCGGCGTCGCGGACCCGGGTCGTGGCATTGGTCCCTCCGAGAATGGACGAGCGGATGAAAGAGTACTTGGGCGGCGACGGGGCATCGCGGACTAGAAGCGAGTCCAGCTCCTCCTCGGCCTTTTGGAGCTTGTACGCATTGATGCCGGCGTGCAACTCGTCGCGGAGGCGGGCGGTTGCCGATGTATGGCCGGGCTCGAGCGAGCGGATGACGCCGGTGGCCAGCGCCTGAGTCTTGGGAGCATTGGGATCGGGCTCCGAGTATACATCGCGTGCGTGGTGGGTGTCGATCGACGCCGTGGTGAGGCCGAACGAGCGCGAGCGGATGACGCCGACTTCGGCAAAGTCGGGCTCGCCGGCCGGGTTGCCATCGGCATTGGCGCCTGCGGTCTTGGAGCCAACCGCCAGCGGCGAGGCAGTGGTCTGGCCCTCTTTGAACGAGCGGATGACACCATGGCCGACGGCATCGCGCGCGGGGGAGGGCGCGACTGCCGCCGCGGCATCGCTGTCAGCGCCGAGCGAGGTGCCGAGCGCCTGCGAGTCGCGCCCGGTGAGGCGGGCGCCGGCATCAGTCGATCCGAGCTTGGTCGACCGAATGGGCGACGAGGGACGTGGCGGAAGCCTGCCGCTTTCCTTGGCGGCCAGTGCAGCCTTGGCCAGCTCAACCGGCGACGGCTCGGCCACCGAGCGCCGCTCCCGCCGTAGCCGCATTGGCGCCCCGAACTTTTTGGCAGAGGTGAAGCCGAGCCGTGAAGAGCGGATAGTACCTGGGTATTCGGATGGTGGCAATAAGAGTGAGTTAGGGTGGTGCGCGAGGGAATACTGGGTCCTAGTGAGGCTGGTGCCGTGGAGAGGCTCTGCTGCGGCAGAGTAGGCGCGCTGCAGCAGAGTCCAGGGCCGTTGCTGTGAGCAGGCAGGATGTGGCCGTTGGCCGGCACGAGGCGACGTACCGGCTGACACGCGCTCGCGGATGACGCGGTGCTCCCGCTGCGGGGGCTTGAGGCGGGACGAGGCTGTCGAGTGGCCGTGCTTGTTGCCACGGATGGGCATGCAGTTCTCTGACGGCGGGCGGCTCGGCTGCTGGAAGACATAGCCTCCGTGCGAAACATGCGCGAGCATGTCGGCCGCCGACTCCATTGGCACGCCGCCGCGAGTTGAGTGCTTTGACGAGCTACGAGTGAACGCCGGCCGCCCCGGGCCATACCCCACCGCCTGCCTGCCACCCCGACACGGCGCCACCACCTCGCGCTACCGCGATGAGCGCGCTGTTGGCGGCGTGATGGCAGCAGCCGCTACCATCCGATTGCCTACCTGATAGGATGCAACGTTCCTTGCTCCCTGAAGGGCTTCCTCTGGGCGACGCGATACTTGTAGGCCCTGTATCGGCAGCGCATGCACGCAAAGAGGAGACTGATGCCATCGTAGATGGCATCTGCCACCCTTAGAGTGTCGGGTACCCATCGTCATAGTGGTGTTCATTGACTGTTGTAGGTCTGGTTTCGGCTCCTGGCACCTCTGTTCTTCTTCCGGCGGTTGCTATCCCCACTGTTGCCCTTGCCGCCGTTATCCTTGCCGCCGTTGTCCTTGCCACCACCATTGCCCCGGCCACCACCACTGCCCCGGCCGCCACCATTGCCCCGGCCGCCACCATTGCCTCGGCCGCCACCATTGCCCCGGCCGCTACCATTGCCGCTGTTGCCCTTGCCGCTGTTGCCCTTGCCGCTGTTGCCCTTGCCACTTTTGCTCTTGGGCAGAATGCGAACGGTGACGTCGCCATACCTGATGGAGCCAACGCCGAGCGCGGCCTGCAGAGCTTGCGCGTCGCAAAAGTCGACATATCCGAATTTGAGCTTGTCGCGCAAGAAGACGCCCTTGAGATTGCCGAACGCAGCAAAATGCTCTCTGAGCTCGGCTTTGTTGAGAGGCGAGTCGCTCTCGAACCGGGCAGAAAAAGGTAGCTACTTCCCCTGCCGGCGCCCTTCTTGCCATCTCGCCCCTTGCCACCCGAAGACGCGGGCGGAGCCTGTCGTCCCTGGCCCTGGCCCTGGCCCTGCTTGCCCTGGCGACTCTGACTCTGCTTGCCAGCTTGGCCTGAAGCATGTCCCTGCTTGGACGCGGTGGCCTCGCCGTTGGCCTGCGCTGGCTGGTTGCTCACAGCAACCTTGGCCCACGTTTCCGTTGGCTTGGCCTGCGCCGCCTGCTGCGACGTTGGCTGGGAGGTAGGCCCAGGCGTGGTCTCGGCCGCCACAGCAACGGCGGCCGCAGCAGCAGCGGCAGCAACGGCCGGCTGGTGCTGGTCGGTCGTCCCTGCACGGGTCAGCGGCTTGATGGTGATGTCACGGGCAACGCCGGCGTCGCAAAGAAAGGTGAGCGACGATGAGAGAACGCCACAACCCATCTGGACGACAAACGACTGGGCAAACTTGAGATCGGGGCCGCCAAAGACGCCGACGCAGTTGAGCAGAAACAGAGACTGCAAACCCGGGATCGGGGAATACGCGATCGACGAGAGCGTCACTGACGTGACTTGAAGCGAGGCAAAGTACTGCGCCATCTGGCTCTGAGGACAGCCCTGCGACGAACCGGGGGAGCCCTCGCGGCTCACAACAAGCTGGGCGTACGGGGAAAACAAGCTGACCGCGCTCTCAGTGTTGCGGCAGATGCCATCGTAGAACCTCGCCACGACTGCTTCCATGTCGCCAGCGCCTGCGCTCTGCGTGCCAGCCATGTTTCTGACTGTGCGGGGGGGGGGGGGTGGAGAGGAGAGAATGGGCAGAGGAGGGGGGGGGGGGGGGGGGGAGAGGGAGGAGGGAGGAGGAGGGAGGAGGGAGGAGGGAGCTCTT